CAAAATAAAATCTTATCCTTACAAATCAACTCTTGAAAATAATTTAAATCCCTAAAATAAACATTATTATTATTGTTCCCTTGGGTTCCTAGTGGAACATAGGGCTTCAGCTACACGTCTTCACTTGCTTCTGTCTTCTGCTGTACTTTTCACCTGCATCCATGTTAATCCATACTGTTTCAACTCCTCTTCACACGATCTCCTCCATGTCACCCTTGGTCGTTCCACTCGCCGCTTCCCTTTCGGGTTCCACTCGAGCAATGGCCTGACGCGCAATGTCACGCAGCGGTCTCCTCAGCGAGTGTCCAATCCACCTCCACTTTCTCCTGCATATTTGTTGGGCGACTGGTTTTTGTTTTGTTTGTTCCCATAGTTTCTTGTTGGTGATTCTTTCCGCGGCCATCTGATCTTGAGTATGGAACGAAGACAGTTGTTGATAAAGGTCTGCAACAGGCTGTTGGAAATATTCTTTGTGACACACTGGCCAAGTTTCTGATCCGCATAGAAGAACTGACTGAATTGACGTTTGTATTGAAAATCCGAAATTTGTTGTTGATGTTGAGTGACGAAGATTTCCAGATTGGTTTCAGGTTGATGAATGTGTTTCTCGCCTTCCCGATTCTCTATTTGACATCCTCGTCCGTCCGTTCCTCCTGTAGTTGAGATAATACTCCCTAGAAAAGTGAATTAAGAAACTTCTTTCAAATCCCTCCCGTACATGGTGATTGGCGCTGGATTTTGTTGTTGTTGGTTGGTTGGTTTTTTTCATAACCTCCGTGTTGTCTATGTTCACCTGGAGTCCTGTCTTCACTGGCTGCTTCTTCGACCAGTTTGTCGGTTTTCGCTTGTAAGTCTTCTATTTTGTGTGACATCAAACATAAATCATCAACGAGCGAAATTCAGGTCTTCTAGATTCTTCACTTCGGTCCAGGATATCCTTGTCTTCTCGTTTCCCACTGTCTGACGCATAACCCAGTCCACCACAATTAGGAATATCATTGGTGATAATAAGCGCCCATAGTCTAAGTATGAATTAAGACAAGTAACTGTCAACTGCCAGATTAACTTAGTAGAAATAAAATCACTGAAGTGTTTGATGCATTTTTGTAGAGAAAACTATTTGTGTGTGTGTTTAGTCACATGCCATTTATTTTAAAACACACCAAAAATGGTATCCACGATCTAGTAAATAAAGAAATCGGGTCAATCAATACAGTACGTTGAGCAAACTTTATGCTTGAATAATGATCGCAAAAGCGTCTGTTGTGCATTATAAGAAATAAATTAAACTATGCCGAAGTTAAAGTATCATAGCCAAAGTCAAGGCCATTACCGATATATGGATGATACCTTCATTCTTTGTGATAATGGTTCTGATAGGAGTACAATAATTACTGAATTCAGTGAAGTACATTCGGCTATGAAATTCACGTGCGAAGAGGAATCCCAAAATAGAATGAATTGCCTTCCTGGATGTCCTTCTTACAAGAAAACCAGACGGTAGCATAAAAAGAAATTTGCAAAGGAAAAGCACTTGGACAAGACAATATACACATTTTCACAGCTTCATTCCTATCAAGTACAAAAGAAATTTAGTGAAGACCCTCAGCCACAGAGTGAGTTAGAGCTATATGCTCAGAAGAAGTAATTGAAGATGAATTAAGCATTGTATATGATACTTTGATCGAAAATAGCTATCCCGATAAATTTATCAAGAAACACATGACAAAGCGGAAAATGACTTCGCACTATCCGTAAACAAGAAGCCACTTTATATACGACTACAATTCAAGGGCGATATACCAAGTGAGATAATTACGAGGAAATTAAGAAAATCAGTTCAAACAACTTTTAATGCTGGCGTGAACTACACGTATTATTCTCTACACGACCGATGATGCTACCTCGACTGAAAGATGAAGTACCTAGACTAGCTGGCCACTTCAAATTGTATCTACCAATTCAACTGCGCTTGTTGAGAAAGTTATATTGGCTGTTGCTCTAGGAACTTGATTTTTCGTGCTCTCTCGGGAACATCTCCCACTATGGCTAAGTAAAGGTGTAGTGAAAACCATCAACAGTTCGATATTGGACCATCTGGTGCAAACCGGCCGCAAAGCCAGCCAGCGTGGAAGAATCCTTCTCTATCATTATCTACCGGGTGCCTAATAAATTGCCAAAATCATCGAAGCACCGCATGCTCCAAACAGCAGAGGCTATTGCAATTCGCCTCAAACAACCAGTGCTCTGTGTGCAAAGGAAACAAGTCCAGTCACCCACTATTACTGCCCTGGCCAGCCTTCAGTAGAGACTATAAATTTATGAATTTGTACTGTTATCTTTCATAATTTTTCTGACATCCAGCTTATTTTATGTTGATGCTGTTCAATTGTAATCTACCTATATTATTGATTTGATGTCATTTAAACAACATTAATGTTGTTAATAATAACACTAATTCATTCATTCACTATAATGTATATATAACTGTAGAGCCTGATAATGAAGAGGTTATCGAAAAGAGTATTCTTTGTTCAGTATCCATTCTTTTGAAAACATTTCAATGGGTATTTTTAATCAGTCACAGTCAAGTTCTCTGAAAAGTTGACCTTCAAGAAGCGATCAGACACAGGGAATGCTATGAAATATCATTCCAATTCAAATTATTCCTGCCTTTTTGAACTTGGAAACGATATATACAGTATTCTCTTGGTGTACAATGTACTTTTTCAGCAAATCTATACTGTTAGAGTTGAGAGTAGGTTTTAGAATAGTGTCAGAATAATCAATGGATTTCAAGGTACGATGACGTACAGTCACCTGGATGAAAAAATATATCGCGTATGGTGCGATTTCTCTAGAGATCATCTGTAATATTGACTGGGAGACATTCTTACAACACATAAGCTACAAGTATACTGCATAATATCAAGTTTGAAATATTGTTTAGTGTATTTTTCAACGATTATGCGAGGTTTTTGTATCTGAATTCTGATTGGCTGTTCAAGGTCACTGTGATTTTGACTGTGATATAAACTTTACCTTAACTATTATACTTATCCTAGTTTGAGAATCATCGACAGTACGCACCCACCAAAGGGGTTCGAACCCAGGACCTTCTAGTTACAAGGCAAGCTCGTACACCATTCAGCCACTGGGACCCGATTCAATGGCCAATGCATGAATTCTAACTTCTACCAATTCGTGATTTAGCGCGACCACCAACCAATGTCATCGGTGGGACATCCATCCTTAAACTTGACTGGATGGACCTCACTGGTCACGACTTCTCACTAGAACTCCAGGAAACTCCGTCCTGTAGCAGGTCACTATAACGAGCATCAGATTAATTTTCTATAGTCGGCTTTCAGCTAGATATCGTGGATTTCTTGAAGGAAGGAGACAAAGCAGATATATATCATAATGCAATGGTTTTTGCTTCAGCTCAGAAACAGTCGTGTCACACACACAAGATATACTGTCAATAAATACTTCACCTGAAGATATTGATTGTACGAAGGGAAAATACCATGCAATCAACTCCTCTGAAAGTTCTGTGCACTTTATAAATACTGTCCAGAATAAGGATGTTATCATTATTATGAAAAATTATTAACACACTTTCAAACCTATCCTGACCGTTACTACGCTTGGTAAAGAGGGAAGACTGGTTTCAACATAGAACTTTTCACAAATGTGCAGCAGTTCGAGTTGCCACTCTCCCTTCATGTAGCACACAAAGCAAGAGAAAAGAGTAACCAGAGATCCAGGAGAGAGATAATAACGAGAGATATGAGGCAAAAAGAATAGTAGTAATATAGAAGAACAATAGAATTTTACTGGATATGATAAATCACAAAGGGCGAGTAAATTCATCTCCAACGGCCACTGAGTATGATTTTGAACCACATAACCAATTGTCTCCAACCTACATTAGCTCTAACCATCCCGAGGACCCCAACCAGTCAGTCAAGAAGTTTACACCTCCCTACGTGAGTGGCCGGCTGGCTAAAACTAACTGTTATGGATTTGATTGACTGATGAAGCCATGTTTTAATTTGACCACCAACCACTTGCTCTTTTCCAACAACCCGATCCATCCTATTTCGGCAACTAACATCGCCCGCTGTCGAGGAAGGCGATTGACCGATGGCTAGACATGCATGCGTAACACATGTCCTAAAAATCCCAGTCAATGTAACTTCACAACCTCATCGATTGATTCCCCTTCCCACATATCTATCACTCGACCGATGCCTAACCGCGATATTGCTCACCTTATCAGACCACCACCTAACACGGGAGATAGAATGCGGGCATCTATGATCAAAAACAGTTAGCTAGCCAGTCCTTTTTATGTCTTCCACTTTCACTGGTCATGTCTAACTCACAGTCACATAAAGGAGGAAAGAAAGAACTGCTCAACAGAGGGAAGACCAGGCGTATGCACAGAACTTACACCTAGCGCTACTAAAAAACTTCATTGCGTAAGTTTGAAGGCACATGTTCCATATGGAACACAGAGCAATCAGGAGAACGATTTATCCTAGTTACTCTCCTATATCTACGAGTACAAGTTTCAATCAGTTCCAGAGTAAAAATTAACAGTACAAGAAGAAAAAAACCCACTGAATCCCTTCAGTAAAGAAGCAAAGACACTACACTACACTTTCTAGACTTTATAATTTTGTTAGAATATATATATCAAGATAATAGGAAAGGTGTGTGTGTGTGCGTCAATGGCTTTACTAGATCGTAGGACAAAAAAAGACATACAATAGACAACAAAACTGTTAGGCGTTTCATTACTTGAAATAATAAAATTAAAACAAATAAAACGTTCAAGTGTTCAATAGTTAGTTCTTTTGTTTTTTGTTAAAAAAGAATAAAGTATTCAGATTTCTCAAATAATAATTATTATAATATCAATTTAAATATTATATATATGCATATAAATATTTATCATCATGCCCTGCTGTAGGACTTCTAATAAAAAGCAACACAATTGAAACATTGAAAAGAATACTGAACACATTGATCATTGAATAGGATAAAAAAGAATAAGTTAACCTTTCAATATATGTATATATGCATATTGTTTCATCAAAATAAAAGTTATAATGCAGTAAAAGGTAAATTAAAATAACAACAACAAAAAACTTTAAAAAAAAGAGGGGAATGTGTTTAAATGAAGTAAAAACAATGAATATAATGTATGGCGGTCAAAATGAATGATAAAGTTATAGAGTTACATATTATTATTATTGCTGCGTCTACGATAATATTCAGTAACATTCTGATCCAGTAAATATACGATTTAAATCTAAGCTGGCTAGAAGACCTTCAATAAGTGTTAAAAATCGTCCCAGTGATTCAGCGAAACGTGCAGCGTCTAATTTCAATTGGATATAGGATTCAGGATAACGGATTAATGGGGATTCATTGAAAGACTCAGGCAATGATTCTGGATTATCCAATAATAACAAGTCGAGTAGGTATAAACGTGAAGGAAGTGACTGGATGATAACCTGAGATATAAAAAACAAACAGAGAAGAGAAGTTAAATTTTTAATACTATCTAGAGGATGCGGTTACTAATGATTGAAAAAGCCAAAACTAAAAAAAATATGCAATGCTTAAAGCCTCAACATTGTACAAGCAGATAAGTCATGTCGTTATCAGTAACAGTGTAACGACAGAAGACCTCTTGAGAAAATCAAGATATATTTACAGATTTTTAATGTACATTATTGTTAGTGGACAAGCAACGTCTTCTGATTGGTTGTTTTATTCCTGAAGGTTATCCTGTTATCTTTTGTGGCCGTTTCTCAGAAAATCAAGCCATATATCTGCAAATCATATTTCCGCACGTTAATTCCGCTGTGATTGGTTGGTGATTTTCTTAAGGTCAAGCTATGTTATTGTTTTTCTCGTGGCCCTGATTTGGGACGTGAACATTGACGTAAATTTGTCTAGGAATTTTGGCTTGCAGCCAGCTCTCACCACTAAAGAACCATTTAAAACCAAGGTGTACTGAACAACTGTTTCGTCCTAGTTGAGGACCCTTCAGCAGTATGCAACTATGACCCCATCAATGATCCAACCCAGGTGCTTAAGGTTACAAGGTGAGTTAGTTAACCATTCGGCCACTGGGTCGGAATTCAATGGCCCGAAAATTCTAACTTCTGTCAACCAGTTTACTAATTTACATATATATGTATAAATGTGCATATCAACACAAATTCATAGGGAGGATCAGTCACACCTTGTAAGTGAGGGTGGGGGACGAGTGTTGGTGAACATATGCCTAAATGGCATCAGTAAGAAACCTATTAAACTCCAAAACTTCCATAACACAAAGGGGAGAACTCGTCTATGGGAATTAAACACATTACAGCTTATGAATCATAAGATTAATATCAAAAAACAGCTTTCAAGGTTGCAGTATAAAAACCAACAGGGGCTGCATACTGATATATGCTGTGACGACAAGCATCCGTGAAATTACTCACTCCTCCCCCACCTATCCTGTGTGTACAAAGACTTTAAAACTTTCATGTAAATTGAATAGAGGGCAAAGTGAAACTTTAAGCACCACTAACTACCACCAATCAGCGAATGACCTCGAACGCACGCACCAATCACATGAAGGAGGTATTTTTGGGTATGGAATACATATATTTATGGGAAAAAGAATGCATAAAACCTGTATAAAAGTGTTATATAGGATGCCTTTCTCTCACGTGTGATAAAAACATCTCCCAGTTTAGCATAGGAGTATCAATTGGAAAGTTACACCACATCGTATACACATATATTCATCTAAATGACCATAAATGCCATCCTTCTGAGATCCTTTATTGGTTCTAAACTTGTTTCATAAACCTTCCCCAAAAGCCTTCTATAGAATTAGTCTGTGTCCCTGTAATGGGATCCACAAAATCATTAGAATGGTTGATTCTGTGGTGAACATATTCAAGGGATGACAAGGAGTTATAACCTCTCCACTTATCTATATGTATTACAGAACCTTGTTTCACCAGTTGAGCAATAGTAGGTATTGAAGTATTTGACTTTCTATCTGCTATTCTCTCAACGAATCCTTTCTGTAGACAGGTATCATATAAACCAATCATTCAAACATTATTCTCTCGTTCTCGACCACGGTTGTATTTTTTCCTTAATAAGACAGTTTCATCTACATGTACGATGACAACTCCTCCTCCAAATAAGGAAGTAAGCTTCTCCATTTTCCAGGATACGATATCCCTGCAGCGCTAGTACTACTGAACTGCTGATACGAGATTATTTTGAGTTTCAGCAGCTACACCTGTCTCACAGCCTGTTTTAAAACCCAGTGATTACAAATATAAAAAATCTGGGTTAAGGACAAGTGATGGGGCCTGGCAAAACATGTTCCTGAGAAATATCAGAATCATCAGCAAACACACCTGAATTACAGCAAGCATTTGACTCAAATCAAGAGAAATAGATGCTTCGATTTATGTGAATAAAACGCATTGTACCAATTAAGGTCAATGGTGTGGACGCAATCCACTGGTAGTGGTGAGTAGTGCTTAAAGTTTAACTTGGCCAAGTAGTGATGTGTGTGATCAGATTGTTTCAAATGTTCAGGCGAACTCCGTCCGTGGTATAACCCAGGAGAGATATACAATCGTTTAACAGAGGCTACGGTAGATTGTTTTAGTCAACTGGTTGGTTAGAATCCCCGGCACCGGGTTTTGAGTCATACTTATTGTATAAAGGTTAGTAATAATACCCAGATGTTTACGCTGAAATAGTCGGGGGGGGGGGGTTGGCGACAAGACACAGGCTCAGGACAAACTGGTTACAAGTTGAGAGTTTAAGCCAATGTAATCTCCATTTCATACTATTCTCTGAAATCTTCTTAAGCTGGATCCACGATTGCCCATAACCTTTCATCTCTTCTTCACACGATCTCCTCCTCTATGTCACCGTCCGAGCCACGCCCAACTCAGTGATTTCCACTTAGGTTCCACTCGACGACCTGGAGCGTGATGTTGCTCAACGGTCTCCCCGGCATGTTTCCATCTCTATTTACTCTAAGTGACGGTGATACATGCATTCGTTGTGGCTAGGAAGACTTTTGGATTCAAAATCAAATTTACGAACACGGAATGAATGATAATAATAATAATAATAGTCCTACTAATAATAATCACTTCATTTGCAGTAACCGGGAATTGGTTAGGTTACGTAATACACATGCGATTAGACGAAGACAAGTCAGTAGCCGTTGTCCTAAGTATCGGAGCAGTAATATTGTAACAACAGAAGACAAGGGCCAGGCAACAGATCGTTTATTAAGGAAAATCAACACATATTTATAGATTTTAATGTACATTATTGTAGATTATTGTTAGTAGAAAATACAGTCTTTTGATTGGTTGTTTCTCACAGAAAGTTAACCTTGCATCTCTTTGTGGCTGTGTCAGATCATCCATATGCTAACTGAATCCGCCTACGCAAAGCCTTTCTTCTCATTTTCTCACCACCAATATTGGGGAAATAAACATTGACGTGAATTACTGTCTACCAACTTTGGCTAGCAGCCAGCTCTCACCACAATATGACTAGTACCTACACAAGTGAGTAACTCAAAGACCGTTAATATTTTTTATACACGAAAACACGTTATCATTTAAATGGTTGGGGGATTTCATCATGGGCTAGTGGGAAGCCATGACCAGTAGGGTATAGCAGGTCGAAGGTGAGGACAGTTACTCATCCAGGAAGAAAGACATTGCTAAGTGATCACGCTATATCGTGAATTGGCAGAAGTTATAATTCATGAGCGCTGACCATTGGATCGGGTCCCAATGGAGGATGAATGGTCTACGAGCTCGCTAGCTATGTAACTAGAAGGTCATGGATTCGAACCCTGGCGCAAGGGTGCGTGCTGATGAAGAGTCCCAAAATAGGCTAACAGATCAGCTTGGTGTCCAGTACTCCCAGCTGGCTTTTCAGTGGTTCTCTAACCAATGTCAGCTCATGATGAAATCATCCAACCAATCAAACAAAATCCCTACAAATCAATACTTGAAGACGTTATCCTTTAGTTGCACAGTTGATATCGTCCAATAGCCTCTTGGTTTCAACTTCAGTCACTTGACAATGTATACACATAGCAAAAGGTAGTCAAAATATATCTCACTGACATAATTTACCCAAAGTTTTAAAAATACCCGTGAGAGAATTTTCAGCTACTTACCATAGCCATACCTCTTACAGACCATGAATGAAATGGACGCAAGCAACGTGTATACGCTTCATTGGCGATGGTAACAAGACTTGCATCTGAATTAGGCGTAAGTGTAGATGGATCAGGTGAACGGAACAGATGGTGAAGAAACTCTCTGATGAAGTTGAGACATCTAGAAAAAAATTAATAATAAATAAATAAATAAATCAGAGGGGTGGATATATACAGTAAAATGCTTAATGTGTTGTTAAAACCATCATGTCATCAGAAGAAATTGCAAATATCTTGTGCAGTATACCTGTTCCACTCTAAGTATATCCAATGATATCTTAGTGGATGAATAATGTAACTTAGTAACTTACCAACGGGCACGTGTACACGGCAAGATTCGATGACTTACCTAAAGTACATAAACCGGGGGGGGCGGTACCGCTAAGACCAATACTTGATATGTGAAATTCGCCCTACCATGCGCTAGCTAGACGGTTAGTAAATATATTCTCAAACCTTCCCATGAACAGATGGTGAAACATAGCGTAAAAGATGTATTTGAATTCGTAGACAAAATCAAAGGTATTAATATCAAGAATAAAACTATGATATCCTTGGACATAACATCTTTATCCACAAATGTACCTTTAGTAAAAACAGTTAACTTTAAAGGTGAACAAGTGTAAATATTGGCATCCCAACGGAAATTATAAAACAGTTCTTATGAATGTAAATTTCAAATTTAATGTCACACTTTACAGACAAGTGGATGGGGTGGCGATGGGCTCCCCCCCCCAACCATTGTGTCCCATTTTGGCAGATTTCTTTCTAAGTAAACTAGAAAATGGACCGTTGAACAATCGTATCAAAAAATTCTCATTTTATTGCCGGTATATGGATGACACCTTCATTCTTTGTGAAAATGATTCCAATAGGAACGCAATAATAAATGAATTCAATGAAGTACATTTGGCTATGAAATTCACGTGTGAAGAGGAATCCCAAAATAGAATTCTTTTCCTAGATGTCCTCCAGATGGCAACATAAAGAGAAATTCGCGTAGGAAAAGTACATGGACAGGACAATATACACATTTTCTTATCTTCGTTCCTATTCAGTACAAAAGAAATTTAGTGAAGACTTTCCTCAGCCACAGAGTCAGTTAGAGCTATATGCTCAGAAGAAGTAATTGAAAATGAATTGAGCATTGTATATGATACTTTCATCGAAAATGGCTATCCCGACAAATTTATCAAGAAACACATGACAAAGAAAGTGGAAAAGGACTACTCACTATTTGTAAACAAGAAGCCACTTTATATACGACTGCAATTCAAGGGCGATATACCAAGTGAGATAATTACGAAGAAATTAAGAAAATCAGTTCAAACAACTTCTGATGCTGGCGAACTACACGTATTATTCTCTACACGACCGATGGTGCTACCTCGACTGAAAAATGAAGTACCTAGATTAGCTGGCCACTTCAAACTGTATCTACCACTTCGACTGCGCTTGATGTGGAGCGAGTTATCTTGGCCGTTGCTCTAAGAAATTGATTTTTCGTGCTCGAGAACATATCCCACTATGGCTAAGTAAAGGTGTAGTGAAAACCACTAACAGTTCGATATTGGACCATCTGGTGTAAACCGGCCACAAAGCCAGCATGGAAGAATCCTTCTCTATCATCTACTGAGTACCAAATAAATTGCCAAAAATATCGAGGTAGAGAATGCTACAAACAGCACAGACTATCGCGAAACAACCGGTGCTCTGTATGTGAGCAGAAGAAACAGGTCCAGCCAGCCACTACTATTACCCTGACCGGCGTTCAGTGGAGACTGTGAATTCATCAATTTGTATCAGATTTCTTTTCTAATTTCTCTGATATTCAATGTGTATTGTTATGTTATTTAAACAACATTAATATTGTTAATAACACTAATTCATTCATTATTATGTATGTACATATAATTGTAGAACCTGATGAAGAAGAGGTTATCGAAAAGAATATTCTTTGCTCAGTAACCATGCTCTCACTCACTCACTCAATCAATCACACGTTTAATCAGTCACTCAGGTATTTCAAAATAACTATTTATTAAGATTATTTAACATTGATTAGTTTAAATAATGAGTGAAATCCTTGAACCACTCAACTATGAATGAGAGTGAGTGTGTAAGTGCACCAATCGAGTAGAGTAGAAGCAAGACCTCCTAGTGAGTTGACGAGCTTAAAATAAAACGCACATCATTATTACTACTTTTATTACTAGCAGTAATAGTAGTAGTACCACCTAAGGGGGTTGCACTTTGTTCTCCGTGTCCTGCAATCGAGTCGCTGTAGTGACACTACAATTTTTTGATGGAAAGCTTAACCTCATTCATCTTCACTTCATTTAGTTTATTTTTTTGAATACCATTCAACAAATCAGTAAGAGTTATACAATATATATATACATATATATATATATATATATATATAAAACCCACACATTCTAAGATGACAGGTTTGTCTATCCATTGAGTGTACCCGTAACAGTCATACACAAACAGAAAGAGAAAGAAGGTTAAGACTGCTAAAATGAAGAATATGATGATGATGAAACTTATATAAAAATATTCACAATTAATGTTGTTATTGAGAAGTAAAATCCATACAGTAACGCCTCTGTGTGTATGGTGCTACTTATAAGCTTTCGTAAGTAGTACATGGCCAAGTTAAACTTTAAGCACCAGTGACTACCAAATGAAGTGCGACCGCACCAATGACCTTGAAATGCTCACATAGCAGGTTAGTGATACCTGGCAAATAATGCTGTCAGCATCAATAAAATATGCTCATCGAAGTGTTATGTTATGTTATTAAATGGGATATCTGGCAAGTTTCAGCTTAGGTTTGGGAAAGATTAAGTTACGCTTTAAGGCAAGGACAAGTTAGGATTAGGTTAACCTTAATAAAGGCGACATTAGGGTTAGAAGACCTAAATACTTACATGCATAGAATGTGGTTAAATTACTCTGTTGATAGAAGAATAGTACTTGTGCACTGTGGTGGTAGAGTATAATTCCATTGTGGGTAAAATTTATTTTGATAAAGTCTCACAGTGGTGTTATACAGTAAGTAATATTTACTGATGATTACGTTTCCAGCACAGTTTATTGCCCAGTAAATGTTACTGCATAACACTGTGAAACTTTATCAAAATAAATTTTACCCACAATGGAATTATACTCTGTTGATACTCCAACCTAAAACTGAGAGCTATTTTTATCAAATGTGAGAGAAAGGTATCCTCTGTAACACTTTTATACAGTTTTTATGCATTTTTTTTTCATAAATATATATGTTCCATACACAAAAATGCCTCCTTCATGTGATTGGTGCGTGCGTTCAAGGTCTTTCGCTGATTGGTGGTAGTTGGTGGATGGTGCTTAAAGTTTAACATTGCCTAGTATATTGTGTATGTGTGCATGTGATGTCTCCTGTAAGATTATAATGAATAGAGGAGGCAAAGAAAGAATCTCGTGATGAAACAGCACAGAAAACATACAGGGACGACAAAAGAAGCAGACACACACATAAACTACGGAGGACATGTGAGCATATGGAGATTTCAGTGTAATGTATATGTGTGTGTTTTAGCTATAACCTGCAGACCAGTTTGACAATAAACTATTCCGTTTACACAGAGCAACCATTGAAAAAACTGACTGAAATAGAAGTGGCAATAGTTTTGTATCACCGCGCAGCCACCTCGAAAGAGATAACTGTTACAAACCAGTTTACACACAGACTGTATGCAGTACTTCTGGGAGTTCTATTGTTACTGAGGGGTACTTTATTTAACCGATTACACACACACCCTCCGCAGGATAAGTCTCTTTCCGCCTCCCTTAAATTCCTTTGCCTTCTGAATGGTATATAGACAGACGACTTCAAATTTCGATGTTTCAGTAGGGTTGGTGTGCATTTGTGTTTGCGTGTGAAGTGGGGTTGATATCCTCTATCTAAGCGCCGACTATCCGCTAGTAAACTGGGCGGTGATTAGGAAAGCGGCGGCTGGCCAACATTCTACCACTGAACCACCAACGTGCAGGATGTTAGGATGTACATTTTTAAGAGTTCACCTTTCCTAATCCTTTCATGTTCCCCAAAGTGGGAAAACTGGGTGGTCGTTTGAGGAGAACACCTTACTGATGTTAACATCCTTATTCGCCAGTAGTACGACCCTTGAAAAACGAAAACTATAATGGTTACTGTCTTTAGCCTAATCGCCATCCAAAAGGTATTTCCGTGATGGTACGACATGCAGGAAGGAACATTTCAAATTCAACTAGTATATCAAGGTAGCATCAATCAGTAAGGAAGGCATTAAAGGTGGATTAATCAATAAGTGGAGTTATAAGCGAAGACGATTACAAAACAGATCACGAACTGACTGCTGCAAAATACGGAAGGGGGGCGGTAAAGTGAAACTGGACAACTGTTTCTTCCTAGCCCGAGACTCTTCAGCAGTATGCGCTGATGACTGCACGACTCTCAGGTTGCGAGGCGAGCACTCATTGACCATTTAGCCAGTGAAATGGAATCCAATGGCTAGCCAATTAATTCTAAATTCTGCCGATTCACGATGTATGGAATGACCGTCAGCCAATGTCATCAACGAGTATTCGTCGTGACACACAACTGAGGAGACCCCAATGGTTACGACACTTCTCACTAGGAATTCAATCAACGTCATCCTGTAGTCACTTATTGGTGAGCATTAAACTGATTTTTCAGTGTTGGTTTGCTGACTGACTGGTTTCAACATAGAACTTTGCACAGATGTGCAGCAGTCCAACTTGAAAGTCTCCCTCCATATAGCATACAAAGCAAGAGAAGAGAGTAAACAGACGTTCAAAAGAGAGATAGAATGATCAGAAGTCTGAGTGAGGGAAAAAGAACAGTATTAATACGGAAGAACAATAGGGTTTTACTGAATATGACAAATCACAAAGAGTGAATTAATGCATCTGCGCCATCACTGATTGAGAACGATTTTCAACAATGTCACCAATTGTCTCCAACCTTCATTGGTTCTTACCATCCCGACGACCCCCATCAGCCAGTCAGGAAGTCTACACCTCTCTGCTTGCCTGGCTGGCTTAAACTAACCGTTATCGATTCCATTAACT